AAGGGTGGGGGCACAAAGAAAGAGGGGGGGAGAGAGACAGAGAGAGATGGGGAAAGGGTGGGGGGACAGAGAAAGAGAGGGGGAGAGGGAGGGGGGGGAGAGACAGAGAGAGATGGGGAAAGGGTGAGGGGACAGAGAAAGAGAGAGAGAGAGAGAGAGAGAGAAAGAGAGGGAGAGAGAGACAGAGAGAGACAGAGAGACAGAGAGAGACAGAGACAGAAATTAAGACCAGGGAGACAGGAGATGGGGGACTGGTCCCCAGGGGCCAGGAGAGAGTAAGAGAATGACAGCCAGGCACTGCTGAGACCTGACCAGGGGCCCTCTAACTTGATTTAGCGAGGAAAGGGGTCTTTTTGCTGTTCCCTGTGGCTCTTGACCCGTCCCCTCTAGGTGTCCGTCTCCCCCCTCCCCCCCCTCTTCCCTTTCCCATGTTTCACCTGGTTTCACCAGACTCTGGCATTTCTCACACTTGGGGGTTGCCTCTGAGAAGATCTTATCTGGGGGGGAAGAGCAGCCACTGGGGTTTGTGCCTCCCCTTCCTCAGGCCCCCTCCCCCTGCCTTCAGAGACCCAAGCGTCCAAGCCTCACCTTTCATCCAGCCCAGGTCATACTCCTTCCGGCAGTGGGAGCTGACACAGTGAGAGGTATAGAACGTCCCGTGCGCTTCCACCAGGTCCTCTGGCTCGAGCCCAGCCACCCGCTCCAGTGTGTCAATATTCTGCGGGGGAGGGGAGGGGAAACAGCTAGTGAGGGCTCCTTCCCACCTTCCGTCTCCTCCTCATCCCCCTACTAGACTTGAAGCTCCCTGAGGGAGGGACTCTGAAGTCAGAAATGGGTATTTGCCCCAGTGATAATCCAGTTTTCTGCACTGTATCTGAGAATTATTTATTGAAATTAAACTAAATCTAAAGTTCGCAATGGAATTGATGGAAAGAAAATCTGACTAGCATAAGAAATGATTGCCCAGTCATCAATTTATCCCTAGAAGACAGAGATATCATAGAATATTTTTGTTCTATTCAAAAATAAACTCAAAGTATTTTTAAAGGACAAATGAAGTTGACTGATGCATGTGGTTATTATGGGGAAGAATTATTTTTTACTGTCACTGCCTATCTGGGGGGCTGCAGCCCCTCCTGCCCATTCAGGCTGCCCACTGGGCCTGGCAGGGCAGACCTGCCTCTGTAGGACACAGCTCACAGCCCCCTTCTCTTGCTGCCCTCACCTGGGTATAGCAGCGAAGCAGCAGCCCCTTGTCCTTGAGCAGGCGGATGAAGTAATGACACACGGTGGGCTACAGAGGGGTGGGGGGCCAAGGCATACACACACTTGTCATTGATGGGGTTAGGACAGCCAAGACCCTCCCAGCTTCTCCACCCACCCACTGTGGGAAGCAGCCAGCCCAGCAAGCCCAGATGGGGAAGCCCTGACTATCCCCCAACCTCCAATGCTATACCTTTGCCGGATTGGGGGGGGTTTACATCCTTTCCCTTTCCTCTGATTAAGCTCACCTTAAATTGCCCTGGGTACAGCTCCCGGGCCAGAGCAAAGAAAGGTTCAGGGTGTTTCTGGGAGAACAGACAAAGACATATGAAGACACGTGAATCCTTCATACTTCACAATGGGGAATGAAGTGAGGTGGATCTCTCAGCCCCTACCCCTCAGCAGCCCAGATTTAGGGGTCCCACTAGTGATATTTGATAGGATGAAGGATTTACCTGCTATGAATGAGAGCATGAAAGGTTCAGGATGAGGAGGGGCTCTCCCTCCTAGGAGTGGGTGAAAACCCCAAAGGTGGGCTGTTCTCAATGACTGTATTACCTTAAAGTAGCTGATCTCAAAGATGGCTTCGGGGTAGGGAAGGTTGTACTTCTCCAAGTTGGCATAGAGGCCAGTGGTTGGGGAGCGGAAGTCAGGGATGCCAGCAGCTGGGGACAAGGGTAACAGAAGAGGTATCCTTGGAGGAAGCCCACCTCACTGGTCAGAGGGGCCTTATCTCAACCCTGAGCTTGGCTCTTTGGGGGATTTGGCCCTTAATCCCAGGCCCCTGGCCCCATTCTGGGGGGAAGTTTGGAGCTTGAGGGCAGAGGGACACAGCTACTCACATGTAGAGATCCCTGCCCCTACCATGCAGATGATATTCTGACCTGGAAAAGAAACAAGGTGGGGGGAGTGACCTCGAGACCAGAGCAGTCCGGGCTTGTTTTCTCCACTTCTTCCGGGAATCCCTATCAGGACTGCCTTGGGCCCTCAGGAGCCCTCTGGAATCCCAGGGTGAGCCCCACCCTTTAGCTCTGGGTTCTCCCCTGGTCTAGGTGGTTCTCATTGGGTTTCATGAGCAATGGGAGAGGGGAAGGGGAGAAATGCTCCAGTCTGGGACATGGGAGCTGAGGTTGGGTAGATGGGGTAAGGCATGTCACATAGACAACCTGAGCAAAGAATAGGAGATGGGGAGAAGCAAGAACTCACATTGGTCACTCTGGATGAACTTGGTCACCCCTTCCAAGGAAAGTTCATCCAATAGCTTTTCCCGCTTCCCGCTGCCCAGGCCCAGGGTCCGGGAGAAGAGATTCCGTAAAAAGTCCACTGCGGGGCAGACCAGAGGATAAGGGTCACTCAGGGAGGGGGTAGGCACTGGGCCCAACTCGGCTTCAGACAGTTTTGTTGCTCCCCATTCACCACCCTGGGCAACTCACTTTCTGTCTCTCCAGATGCAGCTCCACTCTCAGTTTCTGAATCTGAGTCCTGGACGGGAGAAAATGGTCAGAGAGTGAGGAGGGTCGGGGGGCCCCCCAGAGGGTTAGCTCTTGGGGAGGACAGATCAGGGGAGGAGGGTGAGGAAAGGAGGGTCAAGGGGAAGAGGGTCAGAGGGAAGGTGAGCCATTAGAAAGGAGAGTCAGAAAAGGGAGAGGAGGGTCAGGGATTGGGGAAAGAAGATCAAAGATGGGGAAGGGGGGGAGGGTCCTCAGAATGGGGGATGGGGAACAGATCTGCTGTTCCAGGGTTGGGGGTGGGGTGAACGATCCGTGTGGATCTTGGGCACTGGGCAACCCACTCCCTTGGGGAAAGAGGGGGAGGGCCATGAGCGATGGGAGCTGGCGAGGGAGGCGCGGATCCTCTCACGGGCCAATCACAGACTTCCTCTCCCTCCCCTAGCAGCCAATCACAGATCTCGCCCCTCCCCGGCTAGCCAATCACGAACCTCCGAGGGCACCCCCTCTCACCTGAGCATCCTGCACCTTCCCTGCCTCGTCCTGGGGGGGACCGGGGGCTAGGGAAGGGGGGTAGGGAGACAGGGTTATATTGGAGGGGGGATGGGGTGCTGTTAGCGTGGGGGTGGCGGCGGGGGCGAGAAGCGGGGAGGGGGGCCCCAATTGGCCACGGGATAGGGTGCATTAGTGGCTTAGCAACCAGAGGGCCCTTAGCAACTAGCTACCAGGCCTCCCAGAGATCACGGTCCTTAGCAACCAGAACCACTCCACCACCTGCCCCTTAGCAACCGAGGCACCTGTTTCCTGCCTCCCTAAATCGAGGCCTTTAGGCATTGGACACCCCAGGAATTACAACCCCTCACCTTAACCCCCAACCAGCCTTAGCCGGCAATGCGGAGACCGGGGTCCCCAGGATCCCTCCCCCCCATTCCCCTTCCTCCCCCCCCCCCAAGGCCCCACGCAGTGGTTTCCGGGTGGCGAGTCCCCGGAGCCATTCGCCCCGGGGGCCTGGTCCTAGGCCCGGCCCACCAGCCCACCCGGGCCCCTACTCACGGTCTGCCTCGGCCATGGGCCCGGGCCCAGGGAAGGGCTCAGCAGCGCGGGGGGCGGGCAGGGGCCCTCGGGGCTGTCACCGACTGCTCCGTCCCGTGACGGCGCTGGACACGGGCGGGGGCGGGGGCGGGGAGGGCTGGCGACGCACTACAATTCCCAGAAGAGCCTGTGGCAATCGCGGGAATCCCACAATGCCCCGCGCCGTCATTCCGCTGATTTAAAGGCCGGCGTGCCCCACGGTGGACAGAGAAACCACGATTCCCGGCGTGCCTGGCGCCGGAAGCCGTCTGGGTAAAGCGGTGACTGGGGGCGGAGCCGCGGGGGCCGAGCAGGCCAAACGCGTCTTTTCTATTGGACAACTTGGCGCGAGGGGCGGAGCACTGCCAGGAAGGTTTCGCGACCTTATTGGCAGCCGTCTCGAAAAGGGGCGGTGCGGCTTTCCCCGATTGGTCGGAGCGCTGAGCGAGTTGGGGTGCTGGGGGAATTCCCCGGGTCCTCGGAATCCCCGGGCCGGCGGCTGCGGCGGCGGCAACGACTCTGGATGGGCCGGGGGGGCCCGGGAGAGGAGGGCTCTGCGTAGGCCATGGCGGCCCCGGCGGGGCCCGTGAAGTCCGGGGACGGCGGGCTTGTGGACGAATGGTGTGACAGTGGGCTCGGGTCTCTGGGGCCTGATGGACTCGGGACCCCGGCGGACGGGGCAAGGGACGGGGCGAGGGACGGGGCGGACGAAGACGAGGACGAGGAGCCGGCGAGTTGGGCCCCTGAGGTGTTCGGCTACGTGACGGAGGACGGGGACACGTAAGAGGCCTGCCGCTGCCCCCTGCCCTGTGACGCCTCGCCCCCTCCACCCTACCCTGACCTCTGACCCCTGCCCCCAAGATTCCCCTTTTCCCCCAGAGGCTGCCCACCCCTCAGGGAGCTACTGTGCAGAGGTGGAGGGCGGGGATCCCCGCCTCTTACAGAGGAGGAAACTGAGGCAGGGAGGAGCGGTGTGAAGGCGGGGCCAGGGGGCTGCCCCACGTGGGCTCTCCCTCCCTGGGGGTCCTCAGGCAGGCTCACGTGGTGGGGGGGAAGGCGATGTTTAGGTATGGTTTGGATTAGGCCCTTTCCAGCTCTGATATTCTGTTTCTCCCCAAAACTCCTGGCCTCTGTCGCCTCTCCTTTTCCCTTTGAACAGGGACTTCTTTAGGGAACATAATTTCCTGTACTCCCTGCACCCGTACTGCCCCCCAGCTGGGCCCTGGCCTCAAAGGTGACCCCTGACCCTCACCCCCTCTGACTGTGTCCCTCCACCCTGTAGGGCCTTGCACTTGGCAGTGATTCACCAGCATGAAGCCTTCCTCGACTTCCTGCTTCATTTCACAGCAGGAACAGAATACCTGGACCTCCAGAATGACCTGGGCCAGGTGAGGTCCTTCCCCTGACTGTGGATGGGGTAGGTGGGGTGGGGAGAAGACCCTTTCAACCTGGCGATTGGACTGGTCACGGTCTCTGCACCTTGACCCCGGGACTGACCATCTTCTGTTCTCACCGTGTTCATCTGTCCACAGACAGCTCTGCATATAGCAGCCATCCTGGGGGAGGCAGCCATAACGCGGAAGCTGCGGGCCGCAGGGGCTGGGCTCTGTGTGGCTGAGCGAGGGGGACACACGCCCCTGCACCTGGCCTGCCGGGCTGGGGCTCATGCCTGTGCCCGAGCCCTTTTGGGGCCCCCTGAGGGCCAGAGAACCCAGGGGGAGGATGAAGATGAGGACAAGTACGAGAGATTCAACCAGCTGCAGTGTACCAACTACCAGGGTATGGCCCCAGCTGATGTTCTCCCCTCTCACAGGCTCAGCCTGATCCCTGGGGGACCGAGTCATCTTCCAAACAGTAATGATAAAAATCATAGCAATAGTTAACATTGGCATAGCAGTTCCTCTGTCCCAGGCGCTGTGCCAGATGCTTTCCCAGCATTATCTCACCTGATCCTCCTAACAACCCTGTGGAGTAGATGCTGTTATTGTCCTCATTTTACAGATGAGACAAATGAGTCAGGAACTAGCCCAGGGTCACATGCTAGTAAGTGTCTGAGGCTGGATTTGAACTTAGGTCCAAATCCCCCCTAAATAAATATTCTCCCATTTCCTTTGAGGATCCTTGTTTGCCTTAAATACTTTCTGAATGTATTCCCTAGGTGCCTTCTAAATCTTCCCATCTTTGTTTCTCTAAAATAACCTCCCAGGCCACACTCCGCTCCATGTGGCTGTGATCCACAGGGACACAGAGATGGTTCAGCTGCTCCGGGAAGCAGGGGCCGATCTCAACAAACCAGTAAGGACATGGAACCCCACTTGCCTCTCGACCCCCCCAGGCCCTTTTTCCATGCCCCTGTTTCCCTCCTTCTGTATTTCTGTTCTGTGAGATTCTTTTCTGCACCCCCAGCTCCTTTCCCTAGATTGGGGGAGTCTAAATGAGGGAGATTACTGGTTTCCTCTGAGAGGGAACTGTAAAACGGGGTGGCCCCCTGTGGGCAGAGGGGCCTCTTTGAGACAAGCAGGGTCTCCCTTGGACCGTACATAGTCTGAAAGACAAGGTGGGTTTGGTGTGAAGATACTGGGCCCTGCAAATGGGGGACAGGCCCAGCCTCTAGGAAGAGACTGTTGTCAGTGCAAGCCTCCTGTCAGCAGCAGTGACTGGGGATAGATTAGGAGGAGGGAGGGGTGCTGGGGCTTCAGAAAGGGGAGGTTCCATGCCCCAGTGTGCACTGTCTCCTTCCCAATCAGGAGCCCACATGTGGGCGGAGTCCCCTCCACCTGGCTGTGGAGGCCCAGGCAGCTGAGGTCCTGGAGCTGCTCTTGGACGGCGGTGCAGACCCCAAGGCCCAAATGTATGGAGGCCGTACCCCATTGGGGAGTGCCACACTTCGGTCAGACCCCCTCCTCGCCCGTCTCCTGCGTGCTCATGGGGCCCCGGAGCCCGAGTCTGAGGACGAGGAGGACTACAGCCCCAGAGGCAGCGACAGTGATGAGGGTGTAAGTGACCTGTGGGCATTCAGGCTGTGAGAGACCTGCACCATTGGGGTGGAGGGAGAGAGAAGACTGGTGATGGGTGGGCTAGTAATGGATTCTTCTGGAGGGCACAGAGGTGATGGGAGACGGGGAATGGGGGGAGGGAGTGAAATAATTGAGCCCAGGATGGAGAAGCAAGTCCTGACACACACCCCCCCCCACCCCCGGTCCCCTAGGACGAGTATGACGACATCGTGGTCCATGGAAGCCGGAGCTGAAACTGAGGCACGCCTTCCTCGCCAGCTGTGTCTCTAGCCAATTTCTTTGCCTTTTTTTTTTTTTTTTTTTTTGTAGAAAAGCCTTAATTTCGATAAAACCCTGGTTCCTCTGACTGGAGTGTCCAGGGTTCTGTGTTGGGGTCCGTACCATCCGAATTCAGAAACAGACCAATGGGGAGGAAAGCCATGCTTTTACCTGTGCTTTATTCGTGTTGGGGGAGGGGAGTAGCAGGAGGGAGCGGGTGGGGCAGAAATCTCTCATCCCCCCCCTTCCTCAAGTCTGTTTTCATGGTGACCCTCTCTTGCCCCCTCCCCCCACCCCCTGGGGAGGGGCTCCTGGGTGTGAGCAAGATGGGCAGGAAGCGGTCCATAGCCAGATGTGCCAAGAGGCGCGAGAGCGGTTGGGGCAGGTGCCAGGGTCCGCTTGCTCCTCAGCCCCTCCTGCCTAGCGCCTCAGCCACCCTCTTCAGCTCCTCCCCCATCTGCTCCAGGTGCTCCAGTTCATGTTCCTGGGGGGAAGGGGAGACAGCACTTACTGCTCTGAGGGTCCCAGCCTCCCCTGGCCTCCCCAGATGTGTCAGCTGGAGGTTGAGACCATCCAAGCCCTCCTCCAGGGGCCAGGATAGGGACTGGACCCTGGATTTCATTCATGTAGGCAATTCCCAGGTGAGGGAACCTTCTCTGCCAGTGCAGGCTGGCACCTCTCCTGCAGCCCAGAGTCTTAGAACTTCACTCTTGTCCCCAATTTACCCACCCATCATTATAACACATTGCTCCATTTCACAGATGTTATTCTTCACCAAAACTGATCTCCTAATTGTTCGTCATATGTAACATTAATTTCTAATTCCTAAGAGCATGGAGGGAAGTGACTGCCAGGGCCTCCCCTCTGCTGGTCACCCCCATTGGAGTGTAAGCTCATTGAGGGCAGGGACTGCCTTTTGCCTCCCTTTTGTATCCCTAGCACATAGCACAGTGCCTGGCACATGGCAGGCACTTAGTGTTGACGCACAGGCAGGACTTGAATGGAGCCTTCCTGCTTCCCCTCTGCCCACCATCCTCCATCGGCCGCCTTGGTCGCCATTTTCCCCAGTGGTCTGGCAGCCTTCCTGGCTCACCTTCTTCTCTGCCGCCTCCTCCTCGTCCTCCGACTCCTGCTCAGGACGGGGCGGGTGGTGGTGGTGTCTGTGGGCAGGGCCAGCCCCCTGCCACAAGGTGCGACCCCCACCTGACACCCTCACTCCCTTCTCCTCCTCTTCAAACTGGGCTGTCTCCTCATCACTGGCCTTCTCTGCCACGCGCTTCTCCACACCCTGGTCCCAGGCCCCTGCCTCCGCCTCCTCCTCCGAGCCCCGGGCCTCCTCTGGTCTCCGCTTTCTGAGGTCATCCAGGGACTCCTCAGAGACCCAGGCCTCGGCTAGTCCTCTCCTCTTCTTCTTGTCCTCCTCTTCTTCCTCCTCTCGAACCCTGGCCTGACCCCTCACCTCCTGTTCCTTGATTTCTGACTTTTCCTTGGCCTTCACCTCCTCCTCTTCCTCCCGCACCTCCTGGCCCAACCTCTTCTCCCCCTTAACCTCCCCTGGGCCCTGCTTTTTCTTCCTGAAATCCTCTTCCTCCACCTCCTCCTGCTCCTCTTTCTCTGCCTCGCTCTCAGGATCCAGGCGGTGTTTGGAGATCTCTGAGTGAGAAAGGCAATGGTAGAGGATCAGACATCGCAGGCATTTTTTCCCTCCCTTTCATTCCCTCCTGGGCCACCCAAGGGAACCCCTGGAGGGTGGAGCCACCCCACTGCCCTGGGGGATGAAGCCGTGGCCAGGAGCCAGGTATCCTGGTCGTTCGTACCTTGGTGCCTAAGCTCCTCTAGGGTCTGGAGCAGGGATGTGAGCTGTTCATCTAGGGACAGGAAGGATGGTGTTAATGGGGTGAGGGAACTGGGACACAAGTGAACTCGGGAGGGGGAGTGCATGCTCATCTTCATACCTTCTTGGAAGAGCTGGGTGCATGGACCCTCCCGAGGGCCCCCCTGGGTTAGCTTGTCTTTGAGGGCCTCTTCAAGGCGTCGAGTGACCTAGGATGGGCAGTGAGGGAATCAGAGAATTGGGGAAACTCAGGTCATTTAGGGAAAAGGAGAACAGGGACTGAGCAGCACCATGGAGAACAGAGGAGAGACCTGGGGCCTGGGAGATGCTTGCAGACAGATGAAGTGATCGGGGGACATAAGTAGAATTTGGGATAGAGGATGGAGTCACGAGGGGACAGAAGAGAGTCATTTGGAGAGAAAAGGGAGATTTGGGAAATGGAATTTAAAGGTCAGGTAGGGGAGAGGGGAGACAGGGATCAAAGGAGAAAAGGGTTTAGGGGTTGAGAAGATGGGATTTGGGGCAAAGAAATCTAGGGGCAAGATTTTGGGGCCCTGATCCCTCTCACCTCCTGCTTCGAGAGAGGTGCAGCACCAGCTGTGGGAAAAGAAGTAGGGAGGGCCTCAGTCAGGAAACCTGGCCTGAGCCCCCTCAGCCTCAGGGAACGACCGCCCAGCGCTGTCCGGGGTCCTGACCGTTCTCGTTCTCATTGTCTCCTCAGCCTCCCCTTTCCTTTCTCCCTAGGAGCCTGGGGCTGGACCCTGCCCCATCGCCTCTCCCTCATCCCCCAGCGACATCCCTCCGGAATTCCAGGAGTCCTTTTCCCTCTCCTATCCCTGGGTGTCAGTCAGTCCTTCCACTCTCCCCAGATGCCTGGGCCTTCTAGCTCACCCAGTCCCAGCAGCAGCAGCAGTAGCAGCAGGGACACGAGGCCAGGCTGAGGCATGGTGGGGCCGAGTGGTCAGGGACTCCTGGGTCTGCTGTTCCTCAGCGCTCCATAGGGTGGGCTCAGGCTTGGGGTGCTGGGCAAAGGAGGCAGAGGCCCAACCGCCGCCTTATATTTCTCTTGGACAGATGGGGTGGGCGGAGTAAGTGACGTCAATGACAGCCTGTCTACCTACCGCCCCCCCTGCAGCAAGCCCTGGGGGTGCAGCAGCTGGGATGCTACCCAACTCCCAAGCTTAATTATTTACAAGGGAGTAGAATTGAGCTCTGCCATACAAATTACACTCACTCATCCTGCCTCCTCCAAGGAGCCCACCATGAAGATCCTAGCCTAACCCCTCCTTACCCAATTGACTTGGACACACAGACACAGGTCTCTACACTGGAATTTATTGTGCCAATGTGGAAAGAAAGGGATAGAAAAGAATGGCACTCCCCACCCCCCCCAACTTCTTCCTCCCCTAGTGGGACAGCAGGGACTCAGAGGGCCTGAGCTATCTCCACTGCTCTGTAAGTGAGCCCTGTAAAGCAAGGATGGCTTTTCTCATCAATGGTCTTCATCTGGTGCCCAAATGGTGCCTTCAGCCTCATTTGGTGCTAAAACGACACATGGGGGTAGGGCAGTTGCTCCCCAGCTAGGGACCAAAGAGCCTCAGAATGGACACACAGGTGTATGGGGTCAGGAGGCCCGGGGCTGGTTGGGACCAATGTATCTGAGGCGAGTGTGTGTCGGGGCAGAGATCCGGTCAGTACCCAGGTAGGGCTGGAGGACGTCGGGAACCAGCACTGAGCCATCCTGCGTGGACGAGGAGCTTGATGAGTGTCCCTGGAGACCCCTTCCCTTTCCTTCCCCTTTAAAACCCACCCCCTTGCTCAAGGCTCTGCTCCTCCCACCTTCTGCTGGTTGCTTTCCAGGAGAGCAATGAGGATGCGAGGTACTGCACAGCCTGTCCCATTGACCTGGGGGAAGGAAGAACTTAGGCCAATCATCCCCCCCCCCAATCCTAATTGAGGGTCATCCTGGGAGAAGAGGGGACATGAAGACAGGGCCTGGGGAGGGCAGGATCTTGGGGAGGGCTTCTTCTAGTGTGGGCAAGGACTGGAGGAGGGGGGCATGCAGACAGGGCCTGGCGAGGGCAGGATCTTTGGGGGGGGCATCCTTGAAGAGAGTTGAGAGCCTTGAAGGGTCCTGGAGAAGCTCGGACAGGGTGGTCTCTGGAAGGATTTGACGCCTCCCCTCACCGTATGCACATGCTGCAAATCCCCTGCCTCGGTCTCATACATCATATGAAGCCGCCTGCTCTGGAAATCTGTGCAGTTAGAGGCACTCGAGACCTGGGAAGGAATAGAGGGAAAGGTGCAGGCTCCCCAGGGACATTCAGGCTGGACATCCCACCCCATAAGCTCTGGAGATGGGGCTCACCTCCCCAAAGCAGCCACGGCCTGGCATCCAGGCCTCAATGTCAAACTTGCGGTAGGCAGGACGGCCAAGCTCTTGAGTAGGCATGTCCAAGACCCTGTGGGCCAGGCAAAGAATTTCAAAATGTCAGGGATGAATAGGGCTCCAAAGAAGTCATCAGATTGGGGCAACTAGGTGGCACACAGGATAGAGCACCAGCTGTGGAGGCAGGAGGACCTGAGTTCAAATCTGGCCTCAGACCAAACACTTGACACATACTAGCTGTGTGACCTCAGGCAAGTCACTTAACCCTAACTGCCTAACCAAAAAAAAAAAAAAAAAAAAAATCTGGCACAGACACATAACACTCATTACCTGCGTAACCCTGGGCAAGTCACTTAACCCCAACTGACACACACACATATACAAAAGTCACCAGATAGGGAAACTGAGGCACAGAGTGGCAAAAAATCCCCAGGGTCCACAGGAGTTGTTAGCAGACAGGCTTCAGAGCCAGGTGGCTTCTTTCTGACTAAACGGTGCTTTCCCTTGGGGACTGACTGAGGAGCCCCTCAGATTCCCCCCACACATACGGGCCCCACTGCTGACCGGAAGTGCAGGCCCAGTTCCGTCAGGATCTCCTTCTGCAAGGACACAAACTCCTCCAGCAGCCCTGAGCTGTGCTCTGTCCCTGAAGACGTCAGCCCAAACATCTCTACCTGAGGGTAAGCAGATCAGGAGGAGACACGGGGGTCACCCTGGGCCTGGTCACTTTGCCCCATGCTGGGGACCAGTCTGGGAGGAGCTGGGGCTGGGTGTCTTTGGTCTGACCAGGGAGAACAGAGAACGGACAGTGGACTGTCCCAGGAGAACAGGGGAAGTCACCGGTCATCTCTGATGCTTCCTAGGAGTGAGGCTGACCTTGACGAAGTGGTGGACTCTGAAGAGCCCCCAAGGCTCCTTCCCCGTGTTTGTCTCTGCCCGATAGCAGGTGCTGGCGCAGACCACCCTGCGGGGGAAGCAGAGGTCAGGCCCAGAGATCCTGACAGGAGGGCTGGGAATGGAGGGTGTGAATGACTCTGAGGAGGGAGGGGGGAACGAGGAGCAATGGTTGCTCAGGACATAAGGAGGGGCCCGGAATGCCTGAAGTTGGGGAAGGAACACAGCCGCTAGGCGAAGACGTGGGCGGTGGAGGGGTGCAGTCCCGAGGGGAAGGATGTCACCTGATGGGCAAGTCCTTCCAAGATACTGCGTGATCCATGAAGTATCCTGTGGGGTGCAGAGATGCCGCCCAGGCTCAGAGGAGGAGGGGATCCCCGACTTACTCCCTCTCCCAGCCCATTCCCCCAACCCCTCACCTGCAATCCCCACCTCTGATGTCCCTGCCAGGTTGAGGTCCTCAAATCGGGAAGGATCAATGTTGTATATCTGAGAGGGACTGGCATTGGGGCTCATCCCACAGCCCTCCTGGGGGGAGAGGAGGAGAGACTGGGCAGGGAACCCCTCCCCTCCAGTCTTTGTCCAGCAGGGCCTTCCAGAAAGGTGTCCCCTCTGCGAGTTTCCAGGGCCTCCCACCCACCTGCCAGCAGCCCCGCCTTCGGGCTCAGGCCTGCACTGCAGCCATGGACCCAGCCTGCAGGGCTCTCAAGGTTTAGGGTTCATCCCCCAAGCCATAGGCCAAGCTCCCTCCTTCACCATACACAAGGCTAGGCCCAAAGCAAGCCCAATGCCCAGAGAGTAGAGGCTGGGGACTCACAAACACAGCTCCTCTGAGCATGTCTGGCACCGTCATGGCTGTGAAACCCTGGGGGGACCGAGAAGGGAGGGTCAGGGGACAAAAGGATGAAGTGAGGACAGCCCCTCAGGCCACCCACCCTGCTTCCATCATAGCTCCCAGCCGCCCCCTCTCTAGGGTGGGCCTAGTATGTAGGTGAGAAAACTGAGGAACAGTGAGGTGCCAGTGTCCAGGACCCCCTGCATGCCCAGCTCAGATCATAGGATGCCAGAGCTAGAAGGGAGCCAGGGGTCCTGGCCCTGTCTTTCCGGAGGATCCAGACATCTCATTCCCACCTGTCCCAAGACCTAGGTATCTCTGGATCCCTTGTTCCCGAAGACACAACCTTGTCTCCCTCCATCTTGTCTTTCCCCACTCTCGGTCCCGCCGAGACCACTCCTCAGACGTCCCTTTCTTCCATCACCACGACCGAGGGGTTTCTGCCCTCTTCCCATCCCGAGGGCACAGGCAGGCCCCTCCATCCCTGAGACTCAGGTGCCCTCAGTGTCTTCGTACCCTTTGGACAAGTTTGCTGAGGGTAAAGCTGACGAGAGCATGCTGCAGCAAGGCCCCCGGGCCACGAAGGTAATAGGATCGCTGGCCAGACACGTGGGACAGGCGCCTGCACAGAGAGAGCCAAGCCTGAGGGGCGGCTGCGGGGCATACACATGGACCACCCCAGCAGAGGCCTCCCCCGGCCTGGGGAAGCGTGGAGGATTGGTCCTGGGTCACCATGGGACACAGCAGTGGGAGGGAAACAAAGGGAAATGAGGGGACGGGCAGGTGGCAGCCAGAACAGGAATCAAATATTCACGGCAAGGCGAGGCGTTCCCCGCTGGGGGGCAGGCCCTGGATGCCAGCTGTCAGGAGCCAGGGGTGGGCTGCTCACTTCTGACGGATAATATCCAGCTTCTCCCCAATCTCCAGGTGCCCCCGGGGGCGGAAGGCAAAGGCTGGATAGGGACAGACACAGGTGCGCAGTGTGAGATGTACCCAGTGTGAAAGCTATGCAATATGAGACAGAGCAGGGCAGCGATGCAGAGGGACAGATATGAGGGAGGCAGAGACAGACAGGTAGAGACCCAGAGGAGAGACAGAGATGGGATGGGGAGAGGGAAGGATGGGAAAAAGGACACATGGAAGAAAAGAGAAACAGGGAGACAGAGACGGAGTCAAGCTAGGACAGACGGATGGACAGAAACAAGGTAGATGGAGGAGATGGCCTGAGCCCGCACCCTCAGGGAAGGCCCACGGGAGAGGAGGGGGCTGCCTCGAGCCCCACTTACTTGGCTTCTCTCCGACCACCTCCAGGACCCGGGCCTGGCTCTCATCACCGACAGGCTGGAAGAGCAGAAAGTGGTTGTCGGGAACTGGGGGAGGGCGCCAGCCCTGGGCCCAGGCTCCTTCCCTGCCCCGGGCCCCCCACTCACCACATCAGGGTGGGTCTGGTTGGGGAGTCGGAGAGCTCGCGTGTAGAAAAGCTCTTCCAGATGGGCCTCATCGGCATACAAGGCTGCCAGACGTGTCCGGATCGACCTTCCTTGGGCCCGGGTGTTCTGATACATGGGATCCTGGCAGGGGATGGAGGCTAGACTTGGAGTGGGGGATCCACCTGGGCATCCCCCAGTAGCCTGTGCTCCAGAGCTGGGGGGAGGGGGCCTCTGCCCCCTCATTCCACTCCCTCTCCTTCCCTCCCTCCCCCTACCAGGATCCCCCAAGCTCCATACCTGTTGGAGGACATCCTTGTCCTGGCTGACCTGGGGAGAGAATCACAGAATCCTGGGACCTTGGGCACACAAGGAGACAATCACTGTTGTGTGACTGGAGGGGAAGGCGCTGGCCTGGGACTCCAGGACCTGGCTTCTAATCTGGGTCCCACCCCTCACCACCTGTGCAGAGGGAGGTCACCTCACCCTGCCAGGGCTGTGGAGCAGGCAGCCTCAGAGGTCCCTTCCAGCCCTCACTCTGAGAGCTCTACCCCAGGCCCTGGGATTTAGCAGCAGCATGAGTCCGGGCAGGTGGCCGTCCCTCTCTGAGCCTCCACCCGGGATTAAAATATCGATATTATTATCATTATTATGAGCACCTTCCTAGCCTCAGAGTCAGGAAGACCTGGGTTCTGGTTCTGGCCCTGACACAAGCTGGACAAACCGGCCCCTTCCCTTGTCAGAGCCCCAGGAAACGCCCTGGGGCTCAGGTCCACGGTGGGTGCTGAGTGGTACTGGGTGACGGAGCTCCCTGCCTTACTGAAATCACACATCTGACTCATGCACAGGTCTCCTGAACCCTGTGTGCACACTACCGTGCCCGGCACGTGGGAGGAACTTCATTATTTATCGACAGGTGACCAGGTTCTTTCTGGATCCTGGGAAAAGGAACCATCAGGGTTAAGTCACGTAACAGAGATAGCAGAGAGCCCCAGTCAGCCATGGGATGAAAGATGGGCAACGGTTTTTGGCCTCTGGATCCCCAGCGTTTACACACAGTAGGTGCTTAATAAATACTATCTGACTGACCCACAATGCCCCTTTGTTGCCTATCCCATCACTGCTTCGCTGGGGAAAGAGGTGTCCCCCTGGGCAGCACTGGCCATCCCAGACCGCCGGCTGCAGTGGAGTGCCCCCACTCTGGCCCTGAGCTTCAGGGGCCCGGTCTGGAGAAACGTGCCGTACTCTCTAGGCCAACGAGGCGGGGGGGGGCTTCTTCCCTGGCTCTCTCCTGGAGGTGAGAGTCCATTGCAGTTCTTGAGCAAGATGCGACGGGAAGAAGTGTGCGCGTGTGTGCACGCATACCGTACACGTGTGTGTGTGTGTGTGTGTGTGTGTGTGTGTACACGCCTGTGCATCATCCCAAACAGGAATGCACCGGCCAGCCCGCGGCCAGGCCAGGGCTAACACATCCATCCCCACATCTCCCGAGAAGGCCGTCAAGCCTTGGCTTGCCCAGCTCAGACTGCCCCAGTCTGGCCAACGGAAGGCAGCATACCCAGCTCCGATGGGGGACACGGTGGGGAGGGGGAGTCAGAGGTTCTGGTCCCGCTCCCTCTCTGGGCCCCAGTTTCCTGATCTGTAAGATGAGAGGGCCTGGCTCCAGGGCCGCTGGGGTCCCCACGGACCTGTGAACGCCACGTCTCAGTTCTCTGTCTCCTTAGGAGATGGCCCCAGGCACCGGAGGTTCCTCGTCACTGCCGCAGGGAGGTCCCTTTAGAGGGATTTGCCTGGGCTCTGTCCCTCAGCTGGGGGACATCCAAGGGGGGACCTGAACTCACATCTTTCTAACACCAAGGTCTCCACTCTCTTTTTAAAAACAAATACCCTTTGTTCTTGGTTCTAATCAACCTATCCCTCCCAGAACCTCCCCCACCGCCACTCTTTCTCCAATTGAGCAAATTAAAAAAAAAAACCAAACCTAAAAAATAAGTCATTAATAGAGAGGCGCACGGACCAGCACAACAAACATCCGCGCTGGCCACGGCCATAAATGTTTGTCTTTCTCTGTGTTTCAAGTCCATCCCTACTCTGGCAGGAGAGGTGCTATTATTAATCCTATTTTACACATCTAGAAACTGAGGCAGGCAGATTAAATGATGTGCCCAGGGCTACGCAGCTGGTAGGCACAGGATTTGAACCCGGGTCTCGCCGTCTGCAGGTCCACCTGCGTCCTGCCCTAGGGTTTGGGGCTCTTCATTGGGCTGATCCGAGTTCTAAAGTCTCCTCTCTGATGTTGTAAGCACGGTATAGGCTGTTCTCCTCATCCCGCTGACTCGGCCGTGGATCTGGCCATTTTCCGGCTTCCTCAGGAACTGTCCCTCCTGTCGTTCCACCCCTCGCCCTAGGGCCGCTGCCCATCCGGATCCCATTCTCTGGCCACCACAGAGAGCGCGCAGGGAGCAGATCTGCCCGTTGGGGTCCTTTCCCTGCTTCTTTGTTCTCTCGGGGGGAGAGGCCCAGGAAGTAGCCGTGTCCTGGTCACAGGGCGCTGTGCACATGAGCGACATTGGGGCCACGGATCCGGAACCGTGGCCTCCCAGACCTCGGCTGCCCGCCTCGAGGCCTCTCCTTTCTATCCATTACGCCCCAGTGATTTTCCTATGATGCTTTAGTTTATAAAATGCTTTACGTGCAATTTATGTCTTTAAAAAAGCTAGGCCAGTGAATTCACTGGTACTGGAAGCCTTCTCCACCAATGCCTGCGGTTACCGGCACTGTGGGTCAAAGGGGCGGCGTGGGCAGGAGCCAGGACCTGAACCTGGGTCTTCCTAGACCTGAGGGCAGCTTATCAGTTACTTTTGATCATGTAAGGAACCTGTGTTTGTGTCTTATCCCTGGGGACATCACCAGGGCAGTAAGTGGGCCTCATTCAAATGTCCTGTCTCCCCTGCTTAAGACCATTAGCCACTTAGCGTGTGTCTGCTGAATGAAGGGATGGAGGTTAAGGCCAGAGGCTGGGAGGCCAGCTTCACTCACCACTAGAGCTTTGATCTTCTGGGCCACGGCTACCTTCTCCTCCTCCAGGGCCCGGATCTCTTCCTTCAGTCTTCCCAGGGATTGCCAAGTAGAAATCTGGGGTGGGGCAAGGGGGGGAGAGTTAGAAGGAGAAACCAAGGCCAGGCAAAGAAGAGGCCTCTAGGGCCCCAGCTCTGAAACCTCCTGACTCAAAAAGCAGCCCCGAGTGGTGGGAGCAGGAAAGCAGGGGTCAGCCTGCTTCCCATCCCCACCAACGTCCTTTGCCCCTTTCCCCCAGCTCCTCCAGGGGCTCAGCACCCGGTCTTCTTCTGGAGGTTCAGTCACAGCCCACAGAAAAGAAGTGTTAGTCCTGGGGCCTAGGATGAAGTGTGTGACTTTGCCCGAGGGCCTTTCCCCTGATGAGGGGTTTGACCTGGAGAGGAAGCCGTGGGAAGAGTCAGTGGGAGGATCCCGAGCCTTCCTTGGGTGACTAGAGACAGCACAGGGGAGAAGGTCATGAGTCACTGGGCCTCCCAGTGCTCCAGGCATCACAAATTGTGCAAGAGGTGCCAACCTGCACTACTGGATGGAGTTTCCTGATTTGGGAATGCCTATCATCAGTGAAACACAGAACCATTATTATTATGTTTATTATGATTTATTATTATGCTTAGGGCCACATCAGTCAAACATAGGGCTAGTCCCTAACCCTGTTATTAAGTCACAAACTTCCGCCCTGAGCCTCAGCTTTCTTATCTGTAAAATGGGGGCAATAATAATAATAATGATAACATTTCTATAGCGCCTACTATATGCCAGGCACTGAGCCCTCACAACAACCCCAGAAGGTAGGTGCTATGATTATCCTCATTTTACAGATGGGGAAACTGAGACAGGCAGCGGTTACATGATTTGCCAAGAGTCACACAGGTCAGATTTGAACTCAGGTCTTCCTCACTCCAGGCCTGGCATTCTGTCCATTGCATCACCTATCTGTCCCAGTTATCTAGCGCATGGGGTTGTGGTGAGGAAGAGACGTTTTTTAAACGTGTAAAGGACATGCTTTCTCTCTGAATATGCATATAAGTACATGTCTCTCTTTCATTCATTTATTCATTTATTTTTTACTAGACAATCAGGGTTAAGTGACTTGCCCAGAGTCACACACAGTAAGTGTCAGGTGTCTGAGGCCGGATTTGAACTCAGGTCCCACTGACTCCAGAGCCAGTGCTCTATCCACTGCGCCACCCAGCTGCCCTTCATATCTCTGTGTCCAAATCTGTGATTTCACTGGTGGAAACACCCTCCCTGGACACATATCAGCTACTGATCTAATTTACATTCTTAGAGTTGCCTGGATTGTAGGCAGCTAGGGGTTTGGGCCTGGGGGGGAGAGATGGGAAGAGAGATGGGCCTGGAGTCAGTAAGTTGTCTGGTCCTGTCTGACTCTCCATGACCCCATCTGGGGTTTCTTTTAGCAAAGATACCGGAGCAGGCGGGGTTTGCCATTCCCTTCTGCAGCTCATTTGACAGTTTAAGAAACTGAGGTAGATGTAGCTACTAAGTGTCTGAGCCAGATTTTAACTCAGAAAGAAGAGTCTATCTGCTTTGACACCTAGCTGCCTTGGAGCCAGTAAGACCCCAGTTCAAATTCTGACTCACACACTTAGTAGCTGTGTCTACCTCAGTTTCCTCATCTGTAAATCAGGAATAATAATAGCAGCCGCCATAAAATTAGCAAGATGCTTTGCAAACTCAAGTCCCACACAAAGACCAGCAATTATTACTGGTGTCATGAGCCTTCACACACAAGCGACAAATGAATAATGATGATTTATAACCTCCGAGGTTCATTAGAGAGGTGGTGGAGTGCAGTGGTTCCCTTCTGGTAGCCTGTACTCTTTGTTAGAAGGGACTTTTATGGGGGTGGGGGGTGGAGTCAACTGTGAAATGACGTAAGGGTAAAAAAACAAAAAAGCCCCGAAAAGTTATCTCTGAAGTACTTTCCAGTCCAAGTCCTAGGGCCCAGCCCAGGAACCTTGGTCAGTGTTTGTTTCATCAATGTTTGTCTTGTTAGGGGTACCTAGGTGGCGCAGTGGATAGAGCACCAGCCCTGAAGTCAGGAGGACCTGAGTTCAAATCTGACCTCAGACCAAACACTTGACACTTACTAGCTCTGTGACTCTGGGCAAGTCACTTAACCCCAATTGCCTAAAAACAAAAACAACAACAAAAAAATATATATATATATACATATATATATGCACACATATATACACATATAATATATAATATAAATGTTTGAATATATTATATGTATATATTTTTATATATTTTATATATATTTGTCTTGTTGAAATTAGATGTGCCCTAATTAATTTCTGTAAATCAAATCACATCTTAAGTGCCCAAGGAGACGTGTTGAAAAGGACTCCCACACTACCAGAGGTCTCCTGCATAATGAAATATCTTTTTTTTTAATAAAGGAAATAGCCTGATTTCCATTAGATTGTAAGCTTCTTGTGGGCAGGAACTTTTCTTTGGTCTCTCTTTGTATCCCTAGCGCTTACCACAGTCCCTGGCACATAGCAGGCACTTAATAAATGCCTAATGATGAATGAGTCGATTGGTTTCCTTATAGCGAGTTTGCTTAAAGCGGGGTCCGCTAGCACCAAGGCGAGGGACCCCGACCCCTCCTTTAGAGCACACAAGCCACGCCCCCCATTTCCGCTCCCTTGCCCCCGCCCGGCCCCGCCCCACCCGCAGACGGCTTGGTAGCGCATGCGCCCTCACAATCTCCGACAGGTCGGCGGGTCTCAGCTCCCCCTTGCGGTGCTCCAAGGCGCGCGCAGCCTCCTCTGGCTGCGCGCACAGCCTCTCCATGTCCAGCTGGGGGCGCGCGCTGTAGCCCTCACGCACGTGCTCGTACAGGAGGTTCCGGGTGCTTCTCGGGACCCCACCAGAGGTACTGAGGTTCCTCTCCCTGCCTGACCTTGGCGTTTCCTGGCGCGGGCGGTAGCGGCTTCGGAAAGGCATGGGCAGCATGCGGGGCAATCGCCGCGCCACGGACGCCGCCATGTCGAATCCCGATTCACATGGAGACGCCCGCCCGACCTCTAGGAACAGCGACCAATCAAAACGCGAGGATTCACCTTCCTCCGCTCTTACCCAATCAACGGCCAGAATGGGGGAAAAAAATGCGCCTAGTGTGGGCATGAGGCGGGGACGCCTTGGAGACTGCGCCTGAATATGTCCAATCAGATGAGGACTAACCAGAGAGACTGACAACCCTCCCGTCCAATCGGCGGTTCATTTCTGCATTGCATCGCAACGCCCCTCCCGCCATGCCTATCGGATAATAAAACTAGCCAATGGGATCTTGGAAGATCCGGAAGCCTGCCCACCTGACTGCTGCCTTAGAAGGTGAGAGCGGGCAGATCTGGGGGTCTCTGGGCTCCCGCTCCGAGGCGGCCCAGGCTTTGGGGAGGGGCTTCTGGGTGCAGCCCCAGGATTCAGGCTAGACTGCGGGGAGAGCCTTCCTGGAGGGGGCGAGGCGGGGGCGGCCTGAGTCTGGACCGCAGCAAGGCTTTCAGGGTTGGGGGAGGGGCGCGAGCATCCTTGGGACCCAGATCAGTTTCCCTTTGGGGCGGGACTTCCTGTGCGCGTTCCCCAGCTCGTGAGGCTGGGCTGCAGGAGGGGCTTCCCTGGTGGGGAAGCAGCCAGGGGTCCCCTAGCCCGGGTAAGCCTCTCCCTCTGTAGATCCTACAGAAGGCGGTCGAAGGTCAGGATGGCGTACTCCAGCTTCTTCCGCCGTTTGAACTCCTCCCTGAGCCAGGGTAAGCACTTGTGGGGAAGTGGGGGGTGCTGAGACCCCCGGGGCTCCCTCTGCACCCAGTTCTGCAGCTGCTCCCAGCAGGGGAGACAGGCTCTGCCTGGAGGATCTCCTGGCGCCACCCTCCCTCCTTCGTTTCCTGCCATTCTCTATTGCCCTGGAAATAAAATGCCTCCTAGGTGCTATCACCCTTCCCCCGAGAAAGTCTGTATGTTTTTTATTTACTCATCTGTGTTCGGGTCACATCTCCCAATAGAATTTAAGTGTCATGAGGCCAGGGACTGTTCCAGTTTTAGTTTTGTATCTCCGCAGCCCTGAATCCTTGATGAACCAATGATGAACGAATGGGAACCTACCCACAGGCACACTGGGAGTGGCAGAGCTAAGATCTTGTCTCTGAATCCAATTATCTATGCACCAGCGTTTGTGCAAAAGTATAGTTTGGGAAGATGCACTTAGCTTTTATATGTATTATGAGACAGAGGCAGGGTGGGAAAGGGAATAAGCTTTTATGGAGTACCTACTATGTGCCAGGCACTGTGCTAAGCTATAAGGATTCAGGAAGAGAGGGGCAGCTAGGTGGCGCAGTGGATAGAGCACCAGCCCTGGATTCAGGAAGACCTGAGTTTAAATCTAGCTTCAGACACATAACACTTTCTAGCTGTGTGACCCTGGGCAAGTCACTTAACCCCATTGCCTAGCCAAAAAAAAAAAAAAATTCAGGAAGAGGTAAAAGACAATCCCTGCCCCCAAGGAACTTAAAATCCAATGGGGGGGGACGCAACATGTAAACAAACAGATAGAAAGCAAGCTATATTACAGGGTAAATAGGAAATAATTAAAGAGAGCAGCTGCTGGAATTAGGAGTTAGGGAGGGCTTCCTGAGATGGGGAGGTTTTAGTTGGGACTTAAAGGAAGCCAGGGTGGTCAGTAGTCAGAGTAGAGGAAGGAAAGATTTCGAGGCGTGGGAGACAGCCAGAGAGAATGCCCAGAGCCAAGAAATGGAGCATCTTGTTCATGGAACAGCCAGTGTCACGGGATCTTGGTAGGGAGTAAGGCATAAGAAGACTGGAGGGGCAGGAGGTGGCAGGTTATGAATGGCAAACAGAAGGTCTTTGTATTTGATCTAGAGGCAGTAGGCGGCCACTAGAGTTTATTGAGTTGGGGGAGAGGGAAGTGACATGGCTGGGTCTTTGCTTTAGGAAAAGCACTTTGGTGGGTGAATGAGGATGAACTGGAGTGGGGAGAGACCTGAGGCAGGCTGACCTCCCAGAAATAGTCCAGATGTGAGGTGATGAGGGCCTGGACTGAAGTGGGGGTGGTGTCAGAGGAGAGAAGGGGGCCTAAGGTGAAATCAACAGGTCTTGGCAATGGCTTTAGTGTCAGGTGAGAGTCAGGAGCCCAGGAGGACTCCTGGGTTGGGAGGCTGGGGTATTGGGAGGAGGGAGGTGCCCTTACAGTAATAGGGGAGGTGGAAGGTGGGGAGGGTTTAGGGGGAAAGATAACGAGCTCTGTTTTGGATATATTGAGTTTAAGGTGTATACTGGACATCTCCTCGAAGATGTCTGAAAGTCATTTGGAGATGGAAGATTGCAGGTCAGCAAAGAAATTGGGGCCAGATAAGTAGGTTTGAGAATTATCAGCAGAGAGATGGTCATTAAATCTGTGGGAGCCGATGAGCTCACCAACTGAAATAATATAGAGGGAGAAGAGAAGAGTGCCCAGGACAGAGCCCTGAAGGACACCAAGTTAGAGGGCATCATCCGGAGGAGGATCCTGAAAAGAAAACAGAAGGAGAGGTCAGAGAGGCAGGAGAACAGGGGTGAGGGAGTGGTCTTGAAAACCTAGAGCAGAGATGATCAGAGTACCAAGGAGGAGACAGTGATGAACAGTGTCAAAGGCTGCAGAGAGGTTCAAGGAGAATGAGGATTGAGAAAAGGCCATTGGATTTGGCAGCTGAGAGATCGCTGATCACTTTGGAGAGAGCATCTCTGTGGGGTACTCAGCTTGAAAGCCAGGTTGTAAGGGGCTGAGAGGAGAGAAAGCGGAGGCACATGTTGTAGACACCTTTTTGAGGAGTTTAGTCACAAAGGGCAGAAGAGATATAGAGTGATAGAAGAGATGGAGGGATCAAGTGAGTTTTTCAGGGTGGGGAAGATGTGGGCACATTTGTGGGCAGGAGGGAAGGAGCCAGGAGACAGGGAGAGATTGAAAATAAGTGAAAGAATGGGATGATAGAGGGGGAAATCTGCTGGAGGAGATGGGATGGAATAGGATCACTTGAAGAGGTAGAGGGTCAGCCTTAGTAAGGCCACCTCGTCATGTGAGCAGGGGTGATGAAGGAGAAAGGGACCAAAGGCACCTGAGTGATGGGAGATGAGAAAGAGGGGAGAAGAGGGAGCTCACGGCAAATGGCCTCCATTTTTTCTGTAAAACATGAGATGAAGTTCTCTGCTTAAATGATCTGGCAGAGGGAGCCTTGGGAGGTTTGGAAGAGCCTCTGAAGAGTAGGAACTTGAGTTGATTAGGGAGGTAGTGTGGGATTGCCTGGCAGCAGTGAGAGCCCAGTTGAGGAAACAAAGGTTAAGGGACTTGCCTGAGGTCACACAACTAGTAAGAGTCTGAAACTGGGTTTGACCTCAGGTCTTCCTGACTCTATCCTTTGCACCACCAGCTGCCTATAAGAGTTGCCGGAGGAATCATGGAGGACAGGCACTCAAGTTGGGCGTTGGGTATTTTTTTAAGCTCTTATTATGGCATTGTGCTGGGGACAGAAGTACTAAGAAGGAAATAATCCCTGCTTTCAGCAATGGGTAGGATCTCCTCCAGTCTTCCAATCAGGAAAATGGGGGGTAATCCCCCAGGTGGGATGGGAGGAGTTGAGAAAGGAATGTATTCTTAGTTTAGAGAAGAATTCACAAAAGCCAGAAGCCAGAGGAAGACGAGTAGCCCAGGAGGACAGAAAGCTGAGAGTGTGGCATGGGGGAAGCATTCCAGGAGGCTAGAAACATCTGTGAGGCCTTAAATGCCGAGCTGAATAGCTAAGAATTTACCGGTCTAACGTGGTCTTGAGCAGAGCTATGTTTTAGCCGAAAGATTCTGATCCCATTAAAGTGGCTTGGACGGGGCGGGGAGCCCAGGACGTCTTGTCTTTCTCTTTCCCTCATTTTACAGATGAGGAAACTGAGGAGAGGTGGCTTATTCAAGATCACAGGAGTAGTAAATGGTAGGATTTGAACCCTGATCCTCTGACCCAAGATTCTAAGACTAAGCATGGCACAGTAGGAAGAGGGCTGGGTGTAAATCCTGGCTTTGTCACTTGCTACCTGTGAGACCTAGGGCAATCCACCTCCGAGCCTCAGTGTCCCCATTTGTAAAATACAGGTATTGCGTATGAATGCATGGGCTTGTTACAGTTTGTTTTTTAAAAGCAAATGCATCATTTAACACAGTAACAAGATTGTCCCATCTGTGTTCTGTTAAGAACTTTTTTCCTCAGTATTTTTAAAATTTGCATTGTAAATCTTTTTCCCCTCCCCCACCCTCAACCACTTCCCACTTACCTGTCCCCTCTTAGTCCCCAGTGGACACCCTCCTCCTTCATAACCAGTCAGCTTAACCAAAGCTATATTGGCCAGATGTTCAGCACCCACCCAGTGCCCTGAAGGAAGAGGGTGACATTCAGGGCCTTCATTTCTGTCATCATGGTCGCCGTGTCCGTTATTTCCCCAGTTCTGCTCTTCTGCATGTCATTCCGCATTCATTCACACCCACCATATGTAGCGGAAGGCCATAATTCCATCTGCAGGCCTCTCTTCTTGTTCCCGTACTGGGATGCCTGTTTGCTGATTAAGCCCATAATAGAAAATGAAGTAAGAGGGTTGGGCTCCACGGCTCATCCCCGAGGTGCCTTTGCTGCTGACTGATGTACCCAGGTGGGAAGTTCGTTCTGAGTCTCCTTAGCAAGGCCGCACTCTGGTGGTGGAGAAGCATGTACCACAGCACTCCGCCATGCAGGCCCGCGGTGCCATCCGGAGGGGGAAGGGAAACACCACCGGTTACCGTTCTCCCCTCTGGGAGCAGGATTGGCAGCTGCTTTAGAGCCATGGGGGAGAGGTGGAGTAGGAGCTTGGGAGCAGGGCCTGAAGTCATTTGAGGAAGTGGGCCCAGCGTCCTGGGGCTCTGTCTCTGCTCATGTCTCCTTCTCCTTCCTCTCCACATCAGCTCTCTGCCTGGTCCCCAAGATGCCACAGAACCAGCACTGCCCCATGGCCACGCTCAACCAGATGCATCGCCGCGGCCGCCCCAAATGGCCCCCAGCCAGCCCCGGCCCCACGAACGGCTGTCCCCAGCTCAAGGCCGTGGTGCTGAAGACGATGATCCGGAAGCCCAAGAAGCCCAACTCCGCCAACCGCAAGTGTTGCCGCGTGCGCCTGAGCACGGGTCGGGAGGCCATCTGCTTCATCCCCGGCGAGGGCCACAGCCTGCAGGAGCACCACGTGGTCATGGTGCAGGGAGGCCGCACCCAGGACCTGCCAGGCATCAAGCTCAAGGTCGTGCGGGGCAAGTACGACTGTGGCCACGTGCAGAAGAAGAAGTGACAGGAGTGCTCAGGGGTGGCTGGGACGGATGGACAGATGTGGCGGGAGCCCAGGCGGCAAATAGGCAAATAATACCGTCATGGTGACCCTTTACTTGTGTCTAGCTTCTTCCAGTTCCCAAAGCTCTCCCCTCACAACTGGCCTATGAGATAGGTTGGCCAGGTGTTACCCCCATTTTACAGCTAAGGAACACTGAGCCCCAAAGAGAGACACTTGTCTGACATGCAGTCAGTCCGAGGTGGGTTTTTCAGGCTGGGTGGGGGGGGGGGCCTCTAATCGGCCCTCCCAGGACCCCTGTGACGTTGGGGGAGTGAAGGGCCCAGCTGAGAGAGCCCCACCTCTTACCGGGGAAATAAGATTCAGTCGGATGGAGCTAGACCCTGGAAGGTGTCAAAGAAGCCAGGCAGCCTGTGCCCCCACAAGCCTGAGTGTGTCTGGTCTGGGCTCCAGGGCCTGCCTGAGCGTGGAAGAAAAGGGCCTTGGGGTGGAAGAGCTGGAGTTGGCCAAGGAGGGCTTGACCCTGGCCTTGGAAGAATGGGCCGGCTTTGGAGAAGGGGAGAAGAGAAGGTGTCCCCAGTGGGTGTGAACCAGAGGAAGGGGGTCAGCCAAGAGACTAGCCCGCAGGCTGGGGAGGCCCCCGAGAGGGGAGAGGGGTGCTGTGGGTTGACCCCAAAGGGTGTGGGATCAGCCAGTGGAAGGGCTGAAAGGCAAGCCCCTGCCTACCCTCCCTACCAGGGTATCTCCAACAGAACTCCACCAACCTAGCCCAGGAAATTTTCACACATTGTGCCACCCCACGGAGCAGCTGCTGGCTGAGGCCGGTATCTCAGGCCAGGCTCTCTGCTCAGCTGTGCTTTTGTTTGGGGTGGGACAGTCACACAGGAAGAGCAGGCTTGGAAAGATTGCACTCAGTGGGACATCTCATTCATTACCTTATCTTTCCCCTTAAATTCACCCCTTTTCCCAACTTCCTTATTCCTACTGGCATCACCATCCTTGTAGACAGCTTCCTACACTTTGAATCCTCCGGTTGCCAAATCTTGTTTCTCCAAAACATTTCTGCAGCCCTTCCCTTCTTGGTCACCCAGGCCCTGCCCTGTTCAGGCCTTTGTCCCTGAGCTGTCTCCCTCAGATCTTGCTCAGCTGGCTGCCAGGGGGCTCTTCCTAAGCCCATGTCACTCCCACCTCAGTCAGTTCCAGTGGCTTCCGGTCAGCACCTGGTTCAAATATAAAATCCCATTTGGCTATTAAAAGTTTTCAGGAACCGGGCCCAGTGTGCCCTTCCCGTGGTCTCCAGGGTTTTTCTCACACGTACAAAAAGTCAGCTTAGCTCTGCAGGCATGGATAGGGAATGGAGGGACAAAGCCATCCCAAAAACAACTGGGTGAGAAAAAAGACCGAGAGGAGAGGGAAAACTGGCTGTGGAATTGAGGTTAGTGCTGATTCACTTCCAGTGCTAGGGATACAGAGAGAGGCGAAAGATGGTGCCCCTGCCCTTGGGGAGCTTACGGTCTAACAGGAAAGACAACACGCAAACCACTATATACAAAGCAAGTGTTATATAGGATAAATAGGAAATAATTAACGGGGAAGGTGCTGGGCTTAAGAGGGGTTGGGGGAAGGTGTCCTAGAGGAAGTAGAATTTTAGCTGGGACTTAAAGGAAGCTGGGGAGGTCAGTAGGCAGAGGGGAGGAGGGAGAGCATTCCAGGCTTGTGGGGCAGCTGGAGAGAACGCCCAGAGCTGAGATGGAGGGTCTTATTCCTGGAACAGCCCAGAGGCCAGGGTCACTAGATCAAAGCATATATATAGGGGAGTGCGGGTAAGAAGGCTGGAAAGGTAGGAGGGGGCTGGGTTATAAAGGGCTTTCAATGTCAAACAAAGGATCTTGTATTTGATCCTGGAGGTGATAGGGAGCCCTTGAAGTTTATTGAGGGGGGTGGGAGTGCAGGTGGGCGATGTGGTTGGACCTGGGCTTTGGGAAAATCACATTAGTGGCTGAATGGAGGATGGGTTGGAGTGGGGAGAGGCTTGAGGCAGGCAGATCCCCCGGGCAGGAGTTGGTGAGGGCCTGTACCAGATGGTAGCAGTGTCCCAGGAGAGAAGGGGGTATGGGATATTGGGGGATGAGAGACGGCGAGGGGTCCAGGAAGACTCCTGGGTTGTGAGCCTGAGGGCCCGGGACGATGCTGCTGCCCTCTACAGTGTTTGGGGGCAAAGACAATGCATGGGTTCCATTTTGGACAGGTTTTGTTTACGACATCCACTCCAGTTGGAGATGCCTGAAAGGCAGTTGGGAAATGCAAGATTGGAGGTCAGTCTGGGCCAGAAAAGGTAGACGTTGAGAGCCCCCAGCATAGAGACGGTCATTAAAACCATGAGATAAACAAGTGAGGTAGTATAGAAAGGGGAGGAGAGGGCTGGGAAAGAGCCCCGAGGGAAAACTAGGGTTAGAGGGTGTGATCCCGCAGAGGAGACAGAGAAGGCCACTTTTGTTTGTGTCTTGTGGCCACTGAAACATGACTCCTGAAAAGCCGGTCTGTTCCCTGACTATTCTGGCCTATTAGGATACTGGTTGTATTGTGTCTCTCTTCCGTTCAAAAGCATATTAAAACCGAAATCCACCTGCTTGTCTGGCTATGTGGATCATCAGTCCAGTGACTGTGCCTATTTATTAAAAAGGGAAGGCTTGGGTAGGTGGGTGGGTGGAGGCAGAGAAAGTGATGCAGAAGAGAAAGAACGTGAATGAAACAAACGGGAGAGGAGGGGACAGAGGCAAACAGGGCACTTTTGTGATTGCAGCCATCCAGTTGAATGGATGTGTTAGAAAGCCCAAGGGAAATTGTTTCCTATACATGTAATTCCTTCTGTTCTTTGCATAGCGAGGTAGGGATGTGTTTAATTGGCTGTTTTACCATTTATTTACTAGTCTGGCGTGACCCACCCGGTTAGTTTTCTCCGGGACCCCCCCTTATCCCTGGTTAATTTTCTGATTGTCCTGAGAAGCAGTGGCAGGTGTGACTGACCATTGGAAGTGCCCCTTCCTTCCCGCTTCAGAAATGTGGGCCTCTGGTGATTTTCCTCTGGTGGGAAGGAGGGAACATCTGGAGGGGTGAGTGTTCCCTTTCCCTTGGGTCCTGGACCCCTCCTCCCTCAGAGTTTCCTGTCTTGCTCTGGGCTGGATATTTAAGTGAGCAAATCAATGAAGGGGTCTTGAAATAGATCTTGATGCTGACGTGGGTGACGTGGACACCATAGTGCCCGGCCCAGAACAGGGTCTTTGCCGGCATCTTCAAAAAAGACAAAGTGGACGCCCTTTGGGAAGTTGGTGAAGATGTGGGAGACCTGTAGAGGGGTGAATAGAAGACAGACAGATGGTGCCTTGGGCTCTTGCCTCCCCCAGGCTTCATGGTTTCCCCCCTAGACTTCCCCCTGCCTCCCCCACTTTGAAGGCCCACCTGGATGTAGGGATTGTTATTCCAGCTGGGGACGGATCAGCTCAGCATCTAATCTGGCCAGCACAGTGCTTCCATTAGTGGCCACCAGTTTGACAGGAAGCTGGTACAGGCAGCCTCACGCTCCCCATCGCAGGGAATGGGAAATCCCCTCAGGGCTGTCTTCAATCAGCATCGCCCCCCCCCCCCACCTTGAGCCTATCTCCCTGCCCAGAGACCCACCAGTCACCAATAGGATAGGGATCTCTGCCTGGGGATTATCCAGCAGCTATGGCCAGGGCCCCTGGGGGGAGGTCCACAACCTGCTGCTTCCAGCACCACCTGGGGAGGGAGCTCCTCCAATGGCTGTTGTCCCCCAGTGGGGTCATTGAAGGGGGTTGGGACTCAGGACACTAGCCCGATGGAAGACACAAAGCAAGTCTGGCCTTCATCCCGGACACAGATCTGCAGTTCTCTTCCGCTTTCCAGCCGTCTCCATTTTCCAGTTTCCACCAAGGAGGCACATGTGTGTGTTGGGGGGGAAGGGGGTGCAAAGGTCAAGAGGACAAAACCTCCCCCAATTCCCCATCCAGGGGCCTCTCCCCTAGACCTCCCTCCTGGACAAGCTCACCCTCCCCACAGGGATTGTGGAGCCGGTTCCGGCCCAGTGGCTCCAGGATGCCCAGGTGGGCCCAGGAACAGGGCTTGGCCAAGTGGCTTCAAGCACCCTCAGCCTGGACCTAGAGAAGACACCATATGCTGGCCCTCCACTGGCCCCCCCCCCCCCGCTGGGGCACACAGCCCAACATCATCTCACCAGTATCATTGGGGGCACGTGGATCGGGATGTACAACAATTCCAGAAGCGGGGCCCTCGGGTCAAGAGCTGGCCCCATCTCCGGCCCCAGCCCAGGCCTAGAGCCTGACAAACCTGGGGCTCCCAGGCCAGTTCCCAGTGGGAGACCAGCTGACCCTCCTGACCCCCCTCAGAGATGGCCCCCTGCCGTCCGCCAGCTGGGGCATCCCCTAGCCAGGTGGATCTTGCTCCAGGCAGAGATGACTCCCGTCCCGTGCTGAGGCATCTGCCTCCCCACCCTGGGGAAATCCTGTTGCAATCCCCAGGCTCTGGCTCCTCTGTGCAGTCAGATGGATGCTGGTGGGTGGAGGGGCGGGCATCCCCTCCCCCTACCTCTCCTTGGTCCTCATTCTTATCACTGTGTTCCCATTGCTCAGACAGCCTTATTGCAGCTCCACTCTTGTGACCAATGCTCCTGGACCAGCCCTGGTGACATGCCGGTCCAGAGTCTAGTACTGGCAATGGTGTTGGGCTGGCCCTCGAGGAAGATGTCCAGGACACGGAAGCTGGGGCTGGGCAGAGGGCTGTCAACCACCCAGTCTCTCCACTTCTAATAAGGCAGCCCCAAGCAAAGACCAGGCCACAAGATACAGTCCTGATACGGCTGACACAGGAAGCCTGATGCTTTTAACACCAAAACTGCTCCTCAAAATGCATACTAATCACACTGATGTTAATGCTGATAGTGACACTCAGAATGGGAATACAAGCCAACAGGCATTTAAAGATAATAATAGCTAACATTCGTATAGCACCTGTGTGCCAGGCACTGTGCTGAGCACTTGACAACTATTATTTCACTTAATCCTCACAACAACCTTGGGGGGTAGGTGCTTATTATCATTACCATTTTACAGATGAGGAGACTGAGGCAGGCAGAAAAGTGGTTTGTCCAGGGTCACGCAGCTGTTGTCTGAGGCTGGATTTAAACTCAGGTCTTCCTGACTGCAGACCTACTGTGTGTGAGGCACTGTGCTAAGTTCTGGGGATACAGAGAAGGGGAGAGCCACATTCGCTGCCCACAGAGCTTCAGCATGCAGTAGGTGCTTTGGACATGCTTCATCCAGGACTGATTTCAGCAATGCACAGATGACTCCCGGCAGCCACTGTGTCACTGGAGAGCTCTGCCTCCCCCAGGCTCCCCGAAATCACCTGCTTCTCCCTGCCAGCTGCAGAGGACCCCCCCAAGGCAGCCCTTCAGAAGGCCGCCAGTGGCTGTGGCACCCCTCCTGGACCCTCTTATGACTGAACACCTCCATTTCCCTCCACTGATTCTCACCAGGCCGGGTCTGGCGGCCTCTTCATCAGACCTGCCTTCCAAATTGTCAGACAGTGTCCCTGCAGAGGATGGAATGTTGGGTTTCGTACAGGGTCAGACCAGGGCAGAGCTCGGGGAAAATATCTGCCTTCACTTGGAAGTTGGCTTGAGACAGAGGAGTGAGGTCTGTAGAGTGCTTTACAAACCTCAGCACAGTATGCAAACGGGTGCTGTGATTATGGTTATTTTATTGTTATTATCTTTTTTTTTTTTGGCTAGAAAATGGGTTTAAGTGACTTGCCCAGCATCACTCAGCTAAGTGTCAAGTATCTGAAGCTGGATTTGAATTCAGGTCCTCCTGACTCCAGGGCCAGTGCTCTATCCACTGCACCACCTAGCTACTCTGATTATGGTTATTTTTAAATTAGCTTTGGGGGGGCAGCACAACCATATTAATATAATTCATTGAACAATAACGTTTATATCAAATACCATTGCATTATTACTCATATAGGTATGCTTATATTAATGACATGGTATGAATTACCATTGATGATTCTCCAGTCATGGTCTGCGTTGATCAACTATCAACATTTGGTAGAGTAGGTCAGTCCTCCCATCTGGTGCTGACAAAATAACTTCATTGTGGGAGGCAGTGTGAGGCAGTGGGAAGAGCCCTACCTGTGAAGTCCCAGATACGGGTTCAAATCCCACCTCCTGCCTGTGTGGCTTAAGGCAAATCATTTGCCCTTTCTGGGCTTTAGTTTCTTCCTCTATAAATGGAGGGGGTAGACTCAAAAACCCTCTGAGGTCTTTTCCAGCCCTAGGACTGTGATGCTAAGTGTGAAGTTGGGTACGCTCGGGAAGAAACTTGGTGCCAGGCACAGCGGCATGCACTTCAAGTGCCTGCTGCTGGCGGGGCTGAGGCTTGGAATTCTCATTGGATGGCTGCATTAAGTTTGACACCAATGTGCTGAGAGTCGAATCACCTAGTCAGAAAAACAGAACAAGTTAAAGCTTCCATAGTGATCTGATCAGTACCGGGATTGGTTTATGAGTGGCTGTGGCATTTCCAGCATATGGGAGAGAAAGAGAGACAGAGAGAGAGAGAGAGACAGAGAGGGAGAGAGGGAGGGAGGGAGGGAGGGAGATGTACTTTGCACACACACCGCCTTTTAAGAAACTACTTTTATTATGGAAAATGAGCACCAATTAGTACAGGTGTTACTGGTTGCTCCTGGCTAATTAAGTGATGGGGGGGGGGCAGGTCATTAAACCTACCGGAGGAAAAGGTAACAGGGTGAGAGCCCTGCTTGTCCCCTCCTTCCCACCATGGCTCACAGGACCACAGGTCCACAGCTGGGAGGGCTTTAGAGGCATTTTACAGGAGAAGGAAGATGTGACCACCAGGTCACAAAGGTAGAGGTGGTCGAGCCAGGATTCCTCCTAATTCCTGTGAATCAAGCATTCTTTCTCCTGCGTCACACTGAACACCCTTCTCCCCCCCTTCTCCAGGGCAGAGTAGAGCCTGAAGGTTCCTCGGCCCTCCTGGAGGCTCATTCCTCCCCACCTCACCCCTCCCCACAAATGCATAATGCCCAAGCAAACACCAAAAGGAGGGGGGTCTTGAGGTTACAAACTGAGAGCTGGCAGGGGCCACACAAACCCACTGGTCCACCCCCCTGATTTTATAGTTGAGGAAACTGAGGCCCAGAAAAGGGAAGTGACTAGCCTTAGCTTACACGGGTGAGCACCAGAAATGGGATTTGAACTCTGGACCTCTGACTCCAAGTTATTGGGCTTCCCTCCCTGCCCCCACAATGACCAACACTTGTATGTAAGACTGCTGATGATGATCCTGGCATTGCTGAACATCACTGCTGTAAATGCTAAGAATGCTACAAAAAATACCCCGAATTGTACAAATGATACCACAGAAATACTAGTGGGGCAAGAGAAATGTGTCTGGGGGGATTTCTTTCTGTTCTGTGCTCTTCGTCCTCCTCCGTTTCAGGTGCCGGAGGATTCTCATTGGACCGGGACCCAGGCGTCCTGCCATGGCACCCTTGGGGCCAGGACTGCTGGCAGGGCATACAGCCACTCACCCTGGCTGGTGTGGACACCCTGATAGCCAGGGAGCCCTGCCTTTGCATTGATTGCAGGCAGGGCATATGGCCTCTCACTCTGGCCCACATGGACACCCTGAGCGGCCAGGGGACCCTGCCTCGGCATGAATTGCAGGCAGGGTGGTACAGCAGGCTGGTGCCATGTTAGAATTGGGTGTGTCCAGAGACACCATAGGCTATCCTAGAAACACAACAAATATTTTAAGAATGTTATGAGGGCCACTGAAGAGCAACCTGCCAAGAGGCTAGAAAGTCAGTCTTAAGCTCAGGAAGTGAGGTTCTAGGCCTTCCTCTGACACATAGATGGATGAATGCCTGAAAAATCACCTTAGCTGTGTGACTCTGGACAAATCACCTAACTTAGTGCCCCAAGCAATTGTCCAAGAGTGCCAAGGGGCTGATTGTGTCAGGAAGCAGGAAGTTTCCACACGGGGAATTCTCCACACCCTAATGAAATCACCAGACTGGGCCAGAAGAATAGATCATGAGGAGAACAGATGTGGTATTAGACACAGCCCCCGGGTCCCCTGGGGCCTTCCAAACTTTCCTCCTGGTCACGGCGATTTTCTGATATTACAAGTATGAGTGACACAGTGATTGATGGAGGGGTGAGGGGGGGAAGAGGGAGGGTGGAGTCAACAACACCACATCTGGCTAATCCTTCTGGGATGAATGGGGATAATGGGGGCAGGGGGATCTTCCTTTCTCTCTTTGGGGCCAGACCATAATTCACAAAGGCTGCTTGTATGTGCCTAGCTAACACTCTTTTCAGCACCTGTGGCTGGGTGGGTCTAACACACACACTGACATTGAAATTGACCCACTGACCTGCTCCTGCTTGTGGGTGTTGGGAGGGAAGTGTGGGTAGCTGGGACACCTGGATTTTCTTCCCTGGCTCCAGGTTTCTTCTGGCTTCTGGGAAGGAAGGGGGGTGGTGAGGTGGAGCTCTCCCTAAGGCAATTTGGCTAAAGGAAGCTACCCCCTCACCCACCCCCAGCAGCCTCGGTCCCTCCTAAGCACCCTCCCCTGCTGTCTAGGTTCACCAGGGCCCCCTCCCTCCCTTGGATCCACCCCCAAGGGGTGGGCGGGTGGGCGTGCCCCTTTCCCCCAACCGGCCTGACCAGTGAGACGTGGGGGTTTAGCTGTCTGAGGAGCCCATCACCCCAGACCTGGGGTTCTTCTAGTGCTGGGATGGGCTCGTGGGTGGCTGGAAGCCTGGCAAGAGGAGAGCCCAGCTGGTACCATCAGCTGCCCCCCGAGGCCAGCAGAACCCCTGCCATAAAGAGGCCTGGGGCAGTCTGGGCCCGGACACTGCCTTTTGCCAGTGGGGTAAGTAAAAGTGGACAGGAAGGGCTGGCTGGGTTAACCTGGACCCTGAGCCAGCCATCGGCCACATTCCAGCACCTCTGGGCTTTCCTGGCTGGCTCCCTTTCCTTCTTCTGCCCAAACATCTACCTTCCTCTACCAGGAGGGAAAAGAGGTCCAAAAAGACTGAATGGTTCTAGGAGGGAGGAGCCTGAGGTGGGAGAGGGGGCCCAGGAGGGCTCAGGGAAGGGTATTGGGAAGGGGAGGCTTGAGATGGGAGAGGGAGCTGGGGAAGGATGCTGGGAGTGAGCCTGAGATGAGAGGGGAGACCTGGGGAAGGATGCTGGGAGGGAGGAGCCTGAGGTGGGAGAAGGGGCCCAGGAGGGCTCAGGGAAGGATGCTGGGAAGGGGAGGCTTGAGATGAGAGGGGGACCTGGGGAAGGAAGCTGGAAGGGGGCAGCCTGAGATTGAAGAGGGACCCAGGAGGGCTCAGGGAAGGGTGCAGGGAAGGGGAGGCTTGAGATGAGAGGGGGACCTGGGAAAGGATGCTGGGAGCAGGGAGCCTGAAATGAGAGAAGGGGCCCAGTAGGGCTCAGGAAAAGAGTGTGAGGAAGGGGGAGCTCAAGATGGAGAGAGGAGCTTGGGAAGGATGTTGGGAAGAGGGTCCTTGAAGTGTGGGAATGTAGCCGAGACTGGCAAAGAAAGGAGAGATAGCCTAGGGAAGGACCTAGGAATAGTGGGGGACATTAGTGGGTGCAAGGAAGGGTTCAAATTCAAGGGCAAAGGATGGCTGGTGGGGAGTCAGAACGGAACTGGGTGAAGATGGGGTGGCAGGGGGATAACCTGGCAATCACACTGTCCTTCCTTCTCTCCTGTGCCTAGATCAAAGACCCTGCCAAATCCCACCCAGCAACATCCCCTGGCTCCCTTCTCCCTCAGGATGATTGCTGGTCCCAGCCTTAGCTGTTACTGCCTCCTCTTTCTCTTCCTTTTGGGGGATGCAGGGGCCGAGGGCTCTCAGAAGGCTGCCCCGGAACAAATACATTTGTCCTACCCAGGTGAGTGCCCAAGGACCCAGACTCCCATCTGGTCTGAGACTGCCTGCCTGGGAGCCAGAACCCCCATGTTGTGGGCATAGTCAGTTTCCCTTCTCCCCCACTCTCCCTGTAGGTGAAGCTGGTTGCATGACGGTGACCTGGACCACGTGGGTACCAGCTGCCTCGGAGGTCCAGTTTGGGCTGCAGCTAGGAGGGGTTCTACCCCTGCGGGCCCAAGGCACCTCCAGTCTCTTTGTGGATGGGGGCTTGCTGAGGCGGAAGCTGTACATGCACCGAGTTACCCTTCGGGGGCTGCTGCCTGGTGTCCACTATGGTGAGGGAGGTTCAGGAGGCGATGGGGCCGGGGCGGGGCGGGGCAAATAGAGACTTTTAAAAGAGCTCAGAACAGATTTCCTGCAGGGGATATCTAGGGATGAGGAGGCAGGAGAGGAGAACCTGCCCTTAGAGAAAATGGGGACAAACTGAACCACCCAGCCTCCCCTCTCCCACCCGAATCGATTCGGCCGTAATTAGCATTGTGTAATGACCGTGGGGTGCTAGGTCCCCACCCTTGGCCAAGCTGGGGAGGACTGTGGGGCGAGAGGGGTCAGAGCTCTAGGACCCAATCCCCTCTCTTCTGCCCTCCTCCGGCCCTCAGTGTACCGCTGCGGCAGTGCCCAAGGCTGGAGCCGCAGGTTTCGCTTCCGGGCTCTCCAGTCTGGGCCCAACTGGAGCCCCCGCCTGGCCGTCTTTGGGGACATGGGGGCTGACAACCCGCAGGCTTTGCCCCGGCTCCGGAGGGAGACCCAGCGGGGGATGTACGATGTGGTGCTGCACGTGGGTGAGGTGTGGGTGAAGCTGGGCTGGGCTGGGATGCTGAGGGATGAGAAGGGGGCTAGGGGAGAGGCAGGCAGGATCGGGACCTGACCACTTCCCCCCACCCCCACCCCAGGAGACTTTGCTTATAACATGGACCAGGACAACGCAAGGGTGGGCGACACGTTTATGAGGATGATTGAGCCGGTGGCTGCCTCCGTCCCCTACATGACGTGCCCCGGGAACCATGAGGAGCGCTAGTGAGGAGGGGGTGGGCCCTCCTGGGGGGTGTCTGAGTGTGAATGGGCCACTGGCGGTGTGGGGCTGACCTCCATCGTCCCCACCCCAGTCTCAGCTTCCTCCCTCCTGAGGAAATGCCCGGCAGGGTGGGCTCCAGTATGGGGACAAAGCAGCACCTCGGGCCGGCTGGCGGGCTGGCGGGGTCCCCGCTGACTCTCACCACCCAGCTGACATGGAACTCCTTCCCTCTCTCCCAATCTAGCAACTTCTCCAATTACAGAGCGCGTTTCAGCATGCCCGGGGACACGGAAGGGCTTTGGTACAGGTGAGCCCCTACCAGGCCTCTGTGAGCCCGGCTACACCCGAGGGATGAGGGCCAGGGCCGGGCCTGATCGCTGATGCCCCCTGCCTCCCCCCTTTCCCCTTCCGTCTCCCCACAGCTGGGACCTGGGGCCTGCCCACATCATCTCCTTCTCCACTGAAGTCTATTTCTACCTCCACTATGGGCGCCACCTGATTCAGAAACAATTCCGCTGGCTAGAGAGGGATCTGCAGGTGAGCCGGGAAGGGCGTGCCGAGCCTTAGAAGCCTGGCAGCACACCCCTTATTGGTGTTCTTCGGGCCAGAGCATCTCTCCCCATCCTTCTCCACTGACTCCCTCCTTGCAACATTCTCAGGAGACCATAAGCCCCTTGAGGGCAGGGCCTTGTTTGTCTGTTTGTACCCCTGGTGGTGGAATCCCTGCTGGGCTCTGTCCCGACCTCACAGCTGCCCTTCCTTTCTCCCACCCAGAAAGCCAACAACAACCGGGCATTGAGACCGTGGATTATAACGATGGGGCACCGACCCATGTACTGCTCCAATGCTGACCTGGATGACTGTACACGACATGAGAGCAAAGTAGGGGAGCGAGCCAGACTCAGGCAGACTGAGAGGAGCTGGGGCAGGAGGGACTCCCTGGGTGATCTACGAAGGTTCTGCTCTAAACCCCACTAAGCCCCACTTTTCTCTGTTCTCCCAGGTCAGAAAAGGCCTCTCTGGTGGTCACTATGGCCTGGAGGATCTCTTCTACAAATATGGTAGCCATCCCCTCATTCATCCTTCCCTTCTTCAAACAGCATGCAATCGTTAAACACCCACTGTGTGCTAGGCAGCATAATCAGGATATACCAAAATAGATAAGGGGGCTATTTTGGTGTGGGAGAGCACACTAGCTGGGGGGTCCCCCTTCCGTGGTAGGTGACACCCCAGCTACCATCTCTGGGCTTGGAGATAGACCTGTTGACTCTTTCCCCCCACAGGAGTTGATCTGCAGTTGTGGGCCCATGAGCACTCCTATGAGCGCCTTTGGCCTATCTATGACTACCAGGTAAGGGGGTGGTCTTGGCCAGTCTTTCTACCCTCAGTTTTCCCTGAGTCCCCATGCTCCGCTGTCCCTGATAAGCACATCTTCCAACTGGGCCATCCTTTCCTCAGCCCAACCCCAAGCCTCCTCCTACAGTCACTCAGCAAACCGTTTCCTCCAAAGCCCTTCTATTCAAGATTTGATGCTGCTCTCCACCCCCAGGCTTGTTCTTCTGAGGGGTAAGGTGGGGTGAGCCCAGAGGGTGTGCTGGTGAGAGCCAATGGTTAAATTTTCAGTGTATTTATACCTCAGAAATTGGCAATCGCTATAATCAAGGCTTGATTTATTGTTTTACTGATTGTCTAAACTTAAGAAAGTAATGGAGAAAATGCTAATAATAATGCAGATTAAAATTTAAAATGTTTTTGGAAAGCTGATTGTTAAACATTTACCAGCACACCACTGGCTGAGCCCACTACTGGGGGTTTGGAGATCTGATTGTTCAATATTTACCAGCACACTGACCAGAATGCCACTGGCTGAGCCCATTGCTGGCAGTTTGTGTGGACACAGCTTGCTCTTGGGGTGGCCTTGTCTGTCTCTTCACCTGACCTTCCTCCCCTTTTGGCCCTTCTTCCCAGGTCTATAACGGAAGCCGAGAAAGTCCCTACACCAACCCCCGTGGACCCATCCACATCATCACTGGATCTGCTGTGAGTAGAGCCTGCAAAAAGAGCTGCCAGGGTGGCTGAGGAGGGGAGCTGCTGTCCATGGTGCCCAGGGAGGAAGGCACTGCCCCAGGATGTTCTGAACTTCCCTCTCTTCTTTGGCCAGGGCTGTGAGGAACTGCTGACCCCTTTCAACCCTTTTCCGAGGCCTTGGAGTGCCATCAGAGTGAAAGAATATGGCTTCACCCGGCTCCACATTCTTAATGGTACCCACCTCCATGTGCAGCAGGTGTCTGATGACCAGGTCAGCAGCAAGGAGGGTGGATTGTGTCTTGGCTGCCGCTGAGGCCCCATCCCCCGGGAGGTGGGAAGTCTGAGGGCCAACAGCCCCGAAAGCATGGGGTAGGCTCCCAAGCTAAGCAGCAATGGGGGTGGGGGTGGGGAGAGTGAAATCAGGACTTCTCCAGCAACTGGTTGTTTCTCTCTTTCAGGATGGGAAGATTGTGGATGATGTCTGGCTGGTTAGACCCAGGCAAGGCCGTAGGACCTACCTCTAGGAGCCCCAAAGCCCAAAGTGCAGTCCCAGGCTCAAGGGGTGGGCGAGGCCTGACCTCCATGGAGGAGGCCAGAATTCTCTTCTGCATCTGGGGACCTGGGGTCCTAAGCTCCTCCTGGGCACAGGAGGCCAGCCCTGGGGAGAGTAGGCAAGGGAGTTAAGATGTTTACAGAGAGGGACGGAGTGTCCTCATGGAGCCAATGTCGGGCTGTGGAGCTTCACTGCCCACCCTTCCCCCAAACACTGTTTTCTGCCTCATGGTCATGGATTTCAGGATCTCCAAAGGATCAGGCAGCTGGGACCTCAGCTTGTCCTGGGACTCTGGACACAGCCCTCCCCTGCTGGGGGATCATCTGTGGTTCTCACTGCCCCCAGGATGAACCTCAGACTCGGGGACCTCCAGTCTCCAGCCTCCCTCCACCATTCTGTTCACTCATCTGATTCAAGCCTCATTTCCCCAGGCTCCTTTCCATTCCAGCCTCCATTTTCCTACCTCCACGACGTACCATTCTGGATGCTGGGAATGACCTCCCCCCCAAATGCCACCGTGGAAGTTGTGGCACCCGCCTCCTCTGCCAGGGGCCCTCCCCTTCCTCTTCTGAACCCTGACAACATTGTGTACCCTTCATTTTTTGTGGGGGAAGGAAGACTTGTATTTCCTTTGTACTGGTTATTGCTGGTGAGGAAACTACCCCCAAATCAATCAGCTCTCAGGCCACCTCTCTGCAATTACCACACTCCATGAGGGCTTCTGGCCCCAGAGCCCCTCCTTCTCAGACCTACCAGATATCTGAAGCACCCCCATGTTATCAGTCGGTGCTATTGGTGAAGGCTTAGCACAGCAGAACCATGGAAGAGTCCTTGGCTAGGGGCTAACCAATGACCCCTCTGGGTCACCTTTGTCCTTCCCTCTGGGCCTCAGTTTCCCCACCTGTACGAGAAGGAATCAAGATTTCTGCAGTTTCTTCTAGCTGTGAAGCCCCCTTTCCTCCAGGAAGGCCTCTTGGCCCCAGTGCCCTTTTTCTCATTCTCATCTCCCAGCCTCCTAGAGTGACCTCCCCTCAATTTCTCCATCTGTGCAGTGAGGCCTGCTTTGAGGTTCCTTCTGGCTCTGATTAGGACCAAAGACCTGCAGCTGCTAGGAAACAGCTCTTCAGAGGTCCTCTAGTCCAGGCCCCCCATTTTACAGTTGAGGAAACTGAGGCTCAGGTGATATAGGCAGTAGGTAGGATTTGAA